CTCCCTTTGTCCCCCACCACGCGACCCCAATCGTCGATCTCTCCACGTCCATTTCTCCGTTCACGAGTACATCCCAGAATCTCTTCTTCACCGGCAGTCTCAGCCGAGGATCTTCAATCTCGTTCATGGCCTGGGCAGTTATTTCCAACCACTCCTCTACCAGTGGCAGAGGCAGGAACGGCAAAGAATCCACCAGCGTCATAACAAGGGCGCTTTGCTCTGAAAGCGGCTCCTCCCTGGTTTCCTCGAGTGCGTGCGACACAGCGTCCGGGGAGGCGGGTAGCAGCGTCGTGCTGGCGGTCTTGGTGTTTGTACGGAGCATATCCAACAGCGTTTCCGACATGTGTGGTTCCATGGCAGCGATGGGGAAAGGCGGGGAGACGATTTCCATGACGGTCTTGAAGGCTATTCTGAACTGGCGGGGCGATATATGCTGAGGGAAGGAGTCGAAGACTTTGACGATGTAAAAAGGTGTAATCTTGATGGTGAGTGCGCTATGTTGGGGACACGAGAGGACGGACAGAATAGCGCTGTGGGCGGATTCGAAGATTTCCGTCTTGGATGCAGACATGGGCCCTTCTTGGGAGAGGTATGCGATTGCGGGCTTGACGATGAGCAGCTCGCATGCCTCGGTGGGGAGGGAGAGAGGCAGGTGTTCTGCCACGTTGAGATAAAATAAATCGAGATTCATTTGAAGGTTCGCCGAGGGATTGAGAATTGCGTCGGCAGGTCGAATCTCTCGCAGAAATGCCTCGGTAGCTAGGCCATCTCGGCTCAGCACGTCGATAGAAGTCATATATGAGAATGTGTATACCTGGAACGAGCTATTTCCCTTGCGGCTGGAGATGAAGAAGAGGTTCCGCAAGATTTGCAACGACCTGGAGGCGATGCTGGCAGCCAAGCCGGGCACCAACATGTGCGGATCCAGCAAACTGCGAGCAACAATGGCCTGCAGAACAGCCGTCGTGCCGAACATGAGCTTCCTGAAGACTTGCCATAGCAATGGCCAGGTGGTTTGCGCCGTCTCAGGACTCAAATGAGAACCCTCAAAGGAGGCATCAATCTCGCTAAAGCGATTCTTTTGCCATGCATCGAATACTCTGGTGGTGAAGACCAACAGCGCATCATGCGCCTGCATCACCACGCTTGTATCGGTTGCATGCTGCACAGCAAAGGCTGCCAGCTTGGAGAGCGGGCCCATGTTCGCCATTAAAGGTTGCTTCTCCATCTGTCGCAACAGCTGGCATGAAGAGGATCGTTCGGGCCAGGAGAAGACGTGGCCGGGCTGCAATGTGGTATCTTGGCTCACTGTTCTGAGAAACTGCGCATCGCAAAAGCCTTCCTCTCCAGTAATGGCCCAAACAGCGATCGGCAGCAACGCATTACAGTTGATTTGAGCTCTGTGAAACTCTGATAATATAGGAAACGCAAAGTTCAGAGCCGTGACAACGGACACGGCGGCCGCAGGGCCATCTTGGACATTTTCCTCTAGAGCGAGATTGGCCGCCATAACAACGGCCTGCTCCAATGTGTTGCGCAACGCTCTCGACAAAGAGTGTCGATCATATCCCTCCATGCCCATAAGGACGCCAGTCAAGACAAGCAGGTGCTGCCATCGCCTTGACCTCTCATCAGCCCCCTTGACTACGGCTCGTGTCCATTCGTCGCATCGGAGACCTCCACCCTCAGAACGGCCTTCTGGTTTGGCGCCCTCGAGTTGGTTGTCGCGTACACGAACAGCCGCGGTGTGATAGACGCTGATTATTCGTATTGCGGTTTTCGCTCCGTCGTTTCGGTGCCAGATGGCTGGGGCTGTGAGAAGCTGGGAGGTAAGGACCCCGAGATTGAGCGGGTTGGAGAGCTGGGTGAGCAGATGGGTGGTGCTGCCAATGATTTGGTCTGTCTTGGCAGCATCGTGGACGTCCTGGTAATACTGCAGGACGGTATTGAGGAGTCTATCGGCCGGCATAATGACGCATTGGGTTGGGACTTGCCACCGCAACTCGAATACGATGGATAGCCTGAGGGATGTGCAGAGGAGAGAGGTTGCAGATGGACGCGGCGGCCGCAGCCGAGTGGTGACAGTTGACGAGCTTTTGCCGAGGCTGAAATGACGTCCATGTCTGGGGCCGCACCTCGGGCCCGCAGTTCAAGCTCAGGAGTCAGGCCCCCTTCTTTACCCGTTCAAGCTTCATCAACGACAACTTGGCGACATCCCTTTGTCAAAACCGGGCATTTCAACCGCAATGGCCGTCTTCCAACGGCGGTAGCCGCATCGTTGTCCTCGGCAGTGTGCGCCTCGGCCTTGCGGCTGTCAACATGTCTTTTCTGGGAAACCCGCCGCCCAACTACCACTCGCCGCCCTTTCCATCCCTCAACGTCAACACGCTCCAAGACCGCACACCCAATCGCACCTACACGCTCTATCGTATTACAGATGTCTGGAAGTTTACCGTACTCTGGACTTTGATCACCTATATATTTTTCCACCTCGGGGCGGTGCTAGTGGCCGTGTTTAGTCATGGGCTCAACAAAGGGTCGTGGCGGTTTCTCTGGGCTGTTCCCATCATATACCTATTGATAGCAGGCATTGAGGCTATTATAGCTGGGAGCATTGTCGGTCTTGTGTAAGCTCCATGTCCAAGCTCAAACAAACATTTGTTAACAGGCTGTAGGCTCGGAGCGGTATATAAAGCCGGATACTACGAAATGAATACCTGGATCCCGTGTACATGGGGATTTATCAACGTTCTCGTATTGATAATATCATCATTTTCGGTACAAGGCGGACTTTGAAGAAGAAAAAAAAAAAGAAGAATGCAACCCATGTCATAGTATTCGACGCGCCAAAATGCGTTATCCGAACCGAAGCAGCGGCAAATATGCATTATCACGCTCCGCTCTATGAGTCCGTACCGCTGGAGCCGAGACAGTTCAGAACAAAGTTGTGCAGCGCAACACTACACTATGCACAATCTGTTCGTAAATGGAACTGGGACTACAAACATTGCGGCTGAGGCGGCTGAGTGGCACTCAATGGCTCCTGCGCAGGACAGTCTCGTTTGGGAACTTGCCCCGAAGCCTTGGTCACCGTAAACTCGAGAAGAGAACGAAGAAAGAGTTACGGGCTCACGTTCATCCAAAGGTACCAGACCTTGAAGGACAGAATGAACTGCGCACGCAGAGTAATTTAGACAATCCCTTCTGGCCCTTCAAAGGTGCCAGCGTGGCACGGGGGTCTGCACTGCGCTGTTTGGGTGCCTCACGCCCGTTTGGATTCCCGAGTAGTCACCTGTAACTTTGAGATTCAAGCTCAAAAGGGAGTGAAGTTGTTGGGACAAGGAAGTACATGCACAGCCAAGTTGCAAGCTACTCACGTGCATCTGTCCTGGCAAACACGTTGTAACTACCACCAACTGTAACTAGCAGACCACCACAGCACACAGAGTAAAGTCGCATGCACAAGCCTAGGATGTTGGTGTTTAACCCAATGGCTCAACGATAAAGTAATCCAAGAAAAAAAGTGATATTCTAAATTCTCCTGTCATTGAATCTCATCCCCCAAGTCGGGCGCAACTAACTATGTTAAGCAACAACATTCGAACGTTCAAGTCAAGCAGCCCGCCCCACAACCCGAAGCCCCTAGCGCCCAGTCAGGCGAAACTCAGACACCCGCGTCCAATGTCCGTCCAACATGCGCCTCCAAGCCGCATAAACTATTGTATTGTTTCTTGCAGACAATCCCATCCTTCGCAAGCATCCCTATCACCCCAACTCCGAAAAAATCAATCATCCATCCCTTTATAAACGCAAACCCTTCCCCTCCAAAAAAGATAAAAGAACAGAAAACTCACCTCTTTCACTCCAACCTCTGCAAAAAACACCATGGCGATATAAAAACCACACGTAAACCCGCCCATCACCAAACCAAACCAAAAAAAAATGTCCACCCAATGGAGCAAAACGCTCAGCTTCGAGGACCGCCACACCCTCTCGGCCCCCTCGCCCTCATCAACGCCCGATGAGCCAACACCTCACACATGGAGCCGGCCGCCCCTCAAGAACCTCACCCCCGGCCAGCCCATGTCCCTCGCGGGCATATCCCTCCGCGCCTTCGCCCTCGGCCTCACCACCTCCCTCGGCCTCGTGTCCACGGCGCTCGTCCTGGCGCTCACGTCCTCGCCGCTCTGGCGCGTGCCCCTGTTCCTCTGCGCCCTGTCCACCTTCCACTTCCTCGAGTTCTGGACCACCGCCGCCGCAAACACCCCCGAGGCCACGGTCCACGCCTTCCTCCTGACGGCCAACTGGCCCGCGTACCCCGTCGCCCACGCCGTCGCCTGCGCAGAGTGCGTGCTGACCGAGGTGGTGTTTCCGGGCCGGGCATGGGCGCCGCCGGGGCTGGGCACGGCCCTGACGCTCGTGGGCCTCGTCATGGTCGTGGGCGGCCAGGTGGTCAGGAGCGTGGCCATGCTGACGGCCGGGCAGAGCTTCAACCACACGGTGCAGACGAGGAAGGCGGACTCGCACACGCTCGTCACCACGGGCGTGTACGGGCTCTGGAGGCATCCTAGTTACTTTGGTTTCTTTTACTGGGGGCTGGGCACGCAGCTGGTCTTGGGCAACGTGTTCTGCTTCGTGGCGTATGCCTATGTCCTGTGGAAGTTTTTCAGCAGTAGGGTGAGGGTGGAGGAGAGAGGACTGGTCAAGTTTTTTGGCGATGATTATGTACAGTATAGAAGGAGGGTTGGAACTATGATTCCGTTTGTCGGCTAGTGTTTGCCGTGTGTGTCGATTTTTCATGAAATTTTGTTTCAGTTAACGACTGGTCTTGGAGTAGATTTGAGATTTGGCTACGACGGTTTGAACTGGAGGTAAGACTGAGACTGGGCCAAGGTCAAAGACTGCGTTACATGAGAGGCACAACGTGTAGAATATCGTGTATAACATTTATCCAAAGATGGTCACTATCCAAGCCGTAATGCAGTCCAAGTTTTCCAACCTCATGTCTGCAATGCAAGCATCGGTTGTTTACTGACGCTACCATACTTGGCCTGCCATGCGTAAAAGTACATTAATGCCGCAAATGGCTGACCGAAAATGGTAAAGGACACCCAAAAGATCACGTTTCCCATTACTTTGCCGGTGTGCCCCCATTTCATCTTCTCTAGAGGGGCTGTGATGGCGATGAGAGGGAGCTGCAAGAACATGCCTAGAAAAGCAACGCCTGAATATAGGTTAGAAACGAGGGTCAAGACGATGGATAAGACGGAGAATACCGTACCGATAATGTTGTGGGTGGGAACACCAACAAGAACCTCGTGTAGCACGGCAGACACAAAAAAGACGGCGCAACTTGCAGCCCACGGGCTCCATCCACGTCCAATCATGGGTACATATACATGACGCTTAAAGTACGTGTACACGGGCCTGTTCCACGTTCTCCAGTATGCTCCAAGACTCTCGCTATTCCACCAGTCGTCATAAAATGAACGGTCGCCGAATCGCAGCACTTCGGCCAGTGCGTTTAAGAAGGACTGGAACAGGGCAAAGAATCCTGCGAGCCAAATAACCAGAGAAATGGTTGACAGCTTCAGCAGCCGCTCTAGGATCATGAGAAAGTCCAAAGAAGCAATCTTGTCGAGCGAATTCTGCAGAACCGGTGCGGCGTATTGGAAGCTGGCGAACCAGATGAATGCGCTTAAACAGCATACTTCGCCCAGCCTCTTAAAAACAAAAACCCATCTGATCTTGTCGGTGCGCGGGTACACGGGCTGATAGACCAGCGTCGGCGCCCACCAAAAGTAGGCGAGGTTGCCGAAAGTGATATTATTCGGGTACGGGCATTTCGAGTAGAGTTCAGGGATATGCTCTCCTTTGACGGGGTGCAGGTAAGCATGGCGAAGATCTCGGTTGGTGAATGCGTACGAGGCCGTCTTCAGCGACACAATGACGGCATGCATCTCGGTCAAGGTCCCAACGAGCGGGTGGTGGATGTAGAAGTAAACCACAAAGGTTGTGAGGGTCAAAGCAAGCGTCATATTGATACCATGAGCCCAGGCCACCAGTACCCATGTTGAATGAAACTTGGACTTGTCTTGTTCCGACGGTCCGGTAGAGCCAGGTTTGAGGCGCTTACGGGATCCTCGCGCCTGCTTTGCGGCGGCTAATTCGATCAAGTAGGCGACTAATAGATGGCAGGGAATGAGAAAGTAGAGAAGTCCGCCGATCAGGACATCTTCATTCTTGTAGGAGTGGCATCGAAGGCATATCAGAACACCATACTGAGAGGGCGGTTAGGAATGAGCACACACGACACGCATGACTGGGGGTGCGGTGCATTGTAGCATGCCTTTTTCAAATTTTCAATCATCAATCGTAAATTACCCACAACTACATCGAGGTCAGTAAGCGGCAGTAGTTGTTTGCAGTGAATCGGGATTGTTTGCGTACCCAAGACAATGACCATGAGATTTCGAAACCCGATAAAGCTTGGCGTGGCATCGGAGTCGTGGCTTAAACACGAGGGGCGGCTCTTGGAATGGACTGCTGCTACGTGGCGATACTTCTTCTGGGCGACGGCGGCTCTGGGCTTCTCGGCTGCAGTTGCATCTTCGGATTCCTCTTCGACCGGGCCGGGAGATGCATTGCGGTTGCGACGCCTGGTGGCATTTCCCTTGCTCACGGTGCCATTCGCCGGGCTGACACTGGTGGTGGTGGCCGTGCTCATCGTGGAGCTATGCTGGTGATGTCAGTCGGCAGAGAAGGGCTGCAAGAGGGCAGACGACAAACAACTGTGGCAGCCGCGAAGAGCGAAGCTAAAGCTCACAATAGCAGGATAAGGGAAGAAGGAAAAGAAGGGAGGAGGATGATGGCGGGATGACGAGCACGTCAATTGGAAGCTCAAGCTTAAATGGAGGGGCAGACAGAGTCGCGGTCTCCAGATATAGAATGGAGCTTGTTCTTCTTGGTTGGAGCTCCCCTGTTCTGCCCGCCTCCTCTTGTCTCTCTCGTTTCTCGTCTCTCGGCGCGCAATGCCTGCACCCGGGACTCTGCGGCGGCGTTGCCGGCCGACCAACCAGGGACAATCCAGACCAGCGAACAAAAGCCTTCAACTCCCACGAGCAGGTCTTTTTAGTGCAGGGCAAATCCAACCGGCGTGTCTCTTGGCCATGGCATCGAATCAGCCGCTGTCCCTTCAGCCACAAACCGCCTCGTCCAGAGGTGGAGGTTGAGGAAAAACAGGCGCGACGATTCCATCAGGGTCAGATAGCGCCCCAACAACCAATCTACCGGATCGAAGCTATCGAGGCCATCACTTCACCTACAAGCTCTGGTCGCGATTGCCATGATGCGAAGGTCATGTACATGGATGCCCGGCTCCGGTGTCACGATTCGTCAACCACCTCAAGGTGGCGACCAGCACGGCAGACAGCGGGGGCTTGGCGGGTCGTTTCCAGTCCTTCTCGGTCCTCAGCTGTCAATCGTGGCGTTAGATTGCCATCGTCGTCGACGGTTCGCTGCGGCTCGCGAACAGGGTCTGGCCAAGACAGGAGCAGGGGTCAGCTCATGAAGACCTGGCGAAAGCATGTGAAAGCCCATTTCGACGGCTCTGCTTGCATGCTCAATTGAAATGAGGCCGTATTTATTATGGCGAGGTCCAAGCCAGAGAAAATTTCATGATCTACTAGCCTGGCTTCGAAAAATTCCTGAACCGCGGACCCTGGCAGCCTTGGTCCAAATTTTTCTGGAAGCTCGGCCGAGGGTGACAGACAACTCAGTTTTGGACTTTTGCCACCTCTTCCGGGTCTGTTGCCACCGCTGCTTGTGTCTCTTTCATCAAGGCCTTTCACATGCCGCGTTTCCTCTGCCATCGCTGAGTCGTGATGTATTTCAAATTGACACCACCTTGGTACTTGACAGGAAGGCAACTGGTCAATTGCCTCTCATTCTGTACTTCAGTGACCAAACAACCCCAACCCACCACTTTTGCTTGAGGACACCAGGAACCATCACATGACCGGCTCGACCTCGCAGGAACAATGAGACAAACAGCAAGGTTAAAGTTTGAGCGGATGCGGGCATTGAACCAGTGGCGTCCAATGCCATGTGAGTCGTACACACATATGTAGTACAGTAATACAGTCACAGACGAAAAGAGAGCTTGACCCGACAAGAGACCGAGCTACCTGGCAGAACCGCGTTATCATGTACACTATAGCGTGTTATTCTATGCACAATAGGCAATCGATATACCTTGCCAGAGACGATTCTTGTTTCATTCTATACAAAGTTGCGATTTTTAGAGACAAAAAGTTGCATAGGCCCAACATGACTGGAGGTGTATTATGCCAAGATCTCTCCCCTCGTCGAGGAGCCAAGGCTGGTTACTAAGCATGTGGAATTGCATTGTTGCCGTTGTGGGAGCCGGCGCTCCAGATTAAGCAGCTACCCGATGATACCTTCAGATGCCCAAGTTACCGTGAAGATCCGTGCTTTCTCCCAGCTATCCGTATCGATATTCCTAGACTTGTTCCTATGGCTCCAGCGGTCGTCACGCCTCACACCGTCATGCCCCCCGCTCCCCTCTCCCAGACGAAGCAGAAGATGCTTCGCGGGGAGATGTACCACGCCTTCATCCCAGAACTCGTGGCAGACCGTGGCAGAGCCAAGGCAGCCATGAGGCGCTACAATGCTGCCGTAGGAGAGGTATCGCGGCGAGAGGAAGTTCGCCTCTGGAGAGAGTAAGTCCCTAGTGGATGGTGTGTGGTCTGAATATCGGCGACCCAATTGGTACACAGACAGACCCTTTACTTACTGGCCTTGAAATCAGAGTAGTAGGCGACACCACACCTCTACCGCCAGAGCTACCTGATGCTGCAGAAGACGAGGCACAATTTGAAGATGACCCAATAGTAGACGTCCCTGTGTTGGTGGACTATGGCACACAGGTCAAGCTGGGCAAAGGAGTCTTTATCAACTCCAACTCGACCTGGATTGATACCTGCCCCATCACCGTCGGTGACCGCACCATGTTCGGCCCCAACGTCTCATTGTATAGTGGCAAACATCCGCTCGAGCCAGAGATTCGCAACGGCATCAAGGGTCCAGAATCTGGCGCACCAATTACTATTGGAGAGGACTGTTGGATTGGCGGAAGCGCCATCATTTTGCCAGGAGTGACCATTGGTCGAGGTTCGACTGTGGGCGCTGGAAGTGTTGTCACCAAGGTCCGTTTTGCTTGCATGGAGATGTTGGGACGCATCGAAGCTGATATTTTCACAGGACGTGCCACCGTTTCACGTGGTTGCGGGCAACCCTGCACGTATTATACGCAAGATAAAGTCCACATTGGATCCGGAGCAGAACGAGTCGTAGAACGAGTCAAGGTGGGAGACATAAAAGCTCATGTCACAATCGCACACTGTGTGGATATGTATGTACTGACGAGAAAAAGGTAGCCCAGGTTAACATTTATGAAAGTCAAGGCTGCTAAACCTCCACGCCTAGCATTTGAAACCCATGAACAAAACTTTGTGCATAGAGAAGTAGATGAAATATCGCTGGCGTATGCAATTAGAACATGAAAGAATGAACCTGCTTTTTGTTTGACTTCGAGGTCAATACGCGCTATCTTTGAAACACTTCACAGTCTTTGGCATCACATGACTTGGTGAAAGACCCACGGCAAAATGCCGCTTAAACTGCCTGGGCTTTCCTTGTGGCGCAAAACTAAACTCACGCGCTCAGTCACGTCGCCCAACCACAGGCATCCCACTTGACGACGGACTTCGTCCAGCTGATCCTTGATCACAATAATCAGCAATCTTTCTTTCCGACTCATTCCGTATTGTCTGCCTAAACTTGTTATTGAGCTTTCTCCTGGGACCTGCATGCGTGAATTTGCTGCTCACTAGCCGCAGCAATGGCTTACGAGCCACGCGGTGAACATGGGGGAGGTGGCCAGGATGGCACATCCATGAAGGCAAGAGGTCGAAGTAAGTATTTGCACAGCCTACCCTTTATTGACAATCCTGTTTCGTGCATACGGATATTGGACAGCTATGTGAGGCGTGCCGGCGTTCGGAGGGTTACTGTTGGGCTCGAGGTCATACGACGTCAAGTGAAGAATTGGGCGCTTCTCAAGATGAGCCTTGGGTATCAACCGTGGACTGGATATATCCCAGTAGGAAGCCTGTATTTGTGATTGGCGATGAATCAATCCTGATTCGTTCCAGAATCTTGCTCGCCCAGAGGACGAGCCCCAAATCAACACTGTTGTCGTGAACTCTGGTGATATGCGAAGATACCACCAGTCGTATCCGTCTACACACAATTTTTTGGAGGCATTATGTGTCGATGGCCCGTGATAAAGCTGACAACTCCTTGAAAGGGCCCGTTACCGATTACAGTTCTACTGTCACGCACTGGCTGCGGAATAGAGTCCCCAACTACAAGGGCTCGTACAATGGCGAGGCGGAACGGCCAAGCGCAAGCTATATCGTCGACGTAAGGGACATTAGGTTCAAATTTATAGCCCATTCAATCTTTTGCTGACTGTTTTTCTCAAGATGCTGCCACCTGCTGCGCGACCAACAAATGCCGCAGACACAATTCCAATCAAACATCTTCATTCTTCACTAAACAAAATCAAGCATCCCATTAACGTGGTCCGATGGACCCCAGAGGGCCGCAGGTTATTAACAGCCTCGACAAGCGGCGAGTTTACGCTCTGGAACGGTACGGGGTTCAACTTTGAAACGATTATGCAGGCTCACGATTCAGCAATTCGAGCACTGGAGTACTCCCATAGCGACGACTGGCTGATATCTGGTGACCATGACGGACTTATTAAATATTGGCAGCCCAACTTCAACAATGTTCAAAGTATAAATGCACACTCCGATCCAATTCGAGATCTGGCATTCAGCCCGAATGATTCTAAATTCGTCAGCGCCTCTGACGATTCAACGCTCAAGATATTCGACTTTGCACTGGGACAGATGGAATCGAAGTTGGAAGGACACGGTTGGGATGCCAAAAGCGTTGATTGGCACCCCACCAAGGGATTGCTGGTGTCAGGATCAAAGGATCATTTGGTTAAGCTGTGGGATCCCAGGACCACTCGTTGTCTCACCACCCTCCACGGCCACAAGAGCACAATCACCAAAGTCATGTTTGAACGCGTGCGGGGAGCTTGCCTGGCAACATCAGCACGGGACCAAACGGCGCGTGTATTTGACCTCAGGATGATGCGAGACATTTGCCTCCTCAAGGGCCACGAAAAGGACATCTCGACACTGACGTTTCACCCCGTGCATGCCAACCTTCTCACCACGGGAGGCATGGATGGCGCTCTCTTCCACTACCTCCTCGATTCGCCAAATCCTCCTGCAGGTCAGCCCTTAACTGTGGCCCCCTATGACAGCATGGATCCGTCCACCACACCGGCCCAGTCCGTCTGGCCGATGCACAGAATCCCATTTGCGCACGACTACGCCGTGTGGTCATTAGATTGGCACCCGCTTGGACATATCCTCGCATCTGGTTCCAATGACCGTATCACACGTTTCTGGACCCGAGCCCGCCCAGGGGATGCCGACGTTTCTCAGGACAGATACCACATTGGCGAAGCGGCCGCTGAGGCACAAGGAACCTGGGATCGTCGCGGAAACCGCCGCCAGAGACAGGAAGAAGAACAGCAAGAAATGGAAGATGAGATGGACGCGCTCGTGGACCAAGACGCCACCAAACTCCCTGCGCCGGCTTCCCTCCCAGGCATTCCTGGTCTCCCTCTGGGAGGCGGTTCGGCACTGCCCGGTCTCACAGCCGGCCTGCCACCTCCTCCCCCCATCCCAGGCGTTGGATCAAACGGCCCTCCACCACCGCCGTTCCCATTGCCAGGACTCAACGGCGCTCCTCCACCACCTCTACCTGGCCTCGACCCCAATCATCCCCCAGACCCGGCACAACTCCTCGAAATGATGAAGAAGGCGGGCGTTCCCCTTCCACCGCCCGGTGCCTTGCCTCCAGGTCTCATCCCACCGATGGGGGCTATCCCCCCGCCAGGAAACTTTCCCTTTCCTGTTCCGCCTCCGCCAATGCACACGGAGGAGAATGACACGAGACGACGGGCGCCGTTACCGAGTCAGGAGGAGAGTTTACGCCAGGAGCAGCGACAGGGGAAGTACACTAGGGCACGATAGACTCGCGACCCAGGTTCGCTTAGCCGTCCACAGGCCGTACATTCGAGCATCTGATGAAAAAGCATGTACCGGCACCTGACATGGGCAAAAATTTTGATGACAAGTATTGCGCGTGGTTGAGGGGTTGTATTCTATGGATCTGTATGTGTAGAGATGTGCCGGGTTCACGGATACCCTTGGCGTTGGGACAATATATCGTTACATTTTACTCGAACCTGCGATGGCGCTGAGTGCGGCACACATGACATGGCGTCAAATCACACACAGAGTTTCAAACAAAGCACGGACAGTGACGAGGTCTCAACGGCTTGATATCTATCTACCAAAATGATGATGTACATGATTAAAAATGCCCGCCGCGAAATGGCAAGGGCCGCGCTCAATTAAATGTATGGGAACTGACAAAATGCCACCCTCCACCCCTTCTCCCAATGCAAAAAGAGTATCGCTACGGCGGATACCTAGGGTACCCGATGCTGTGACAGGAAAAAGAAATTATGCACGTATGCAAGCAAGCAAGATGAACCGCGCCTTATAAAGAACCCCCTTACCCCCTTTATACATCCCTCCTCTTGCAGATGAATTATCTTGGTGACGTGACGGCTCTGACAGTATGAACCCTGTACAGGAGACAGTATGCACAAGGGCGCCAAAAGAGAGAAAAAAGAAGTAAGAAAAATCATAAGAATCATAAGAATCATGACGAAGGAGAAGGAGGAGGAGAAGGAGGAGGAGAAATAGCACGCTGGCCGCCCTTTCCAAACGCCTTCTGACGGTCGGCGTAATCCCTAATGACCAAAGCGCAGGTGGTTTCGGCGCACAGCCTCTTGCGCCGCGTAACAGGCAGCTTGTTGGCAAACTCGAGGCCCGAGGCGCGCTCGACAGCCTCGATGGGGACCTCAAAGTCGGTGATGGGCTTCTCGTTGGGGATGGCGGCGTTGGGCAGGACAAAGGCGCCAATGGCGACGTTTCCGCCGGCCCGGCCGTCCTCGGCAAAGATGACCTTGTAGAAGTGCGTGGGGACGGCGACGGAGGGCGGCGCCCCAATCATCTCGTAGCGGACGTACCACTTGCCGTCGACGGGGTCCTTGCGAGGCAGATACAGCGGGCCGGTGACGATGCGGACGCTGGGGTAGCGGCCGGTGAGGCGGCGGCAAAAGTCCTCAAAGTGCGCCCAGTAGTCGCGGTTGAAGCCGTCGCCGACCTGGGGGCTGATGTTTGTCAGGTAGAAGGTGTCGTTCATGGCTTTTTGGGACCACTTTGCGTCGGCGGCGGGCACCTGGTGGCCGCGGTCGTAGCCGCTGCGGAAGTAGTCCTTGAGGAGGGCGCGGAACTGCACGGGCACCGCCGTGTCCTCGAGGAAGACGCTGTGCTTGCGGTCGCCGTCGCGGCTGGAGAGGGACTCGGGCGTGATGTGCTCGACCACCCAGTGCGGGTTGCGCGTTCGCCGGTCGTAGCTTGATATCAGGGCCGCGCGGCTGGCGATGTCTGAGACGGGGCCGGGGAAGCCGTACTCGAAGAGGCCGGCTGGGTTGACGGGAGCCCCCAGGACGGCCGGGGGCGTGGAATAGACGTGCTGCGAAGGGATAGCGAGGGCTGTTGTGGTGGAGGCAGCGCCGTTTGGTCTGGCGGTTGGAGGTGTCGCGATGGGAAGCTCGGGTTTCTTGTTCTCGGGAGATGTGCGGAGAGCAAAAGCGGCGGCCGTGAGAGCAGCACCGCCTCCAGCTCCGAGAGCAGCAAACATTGCGAGAGTTGATTTGGACATCCTGACGGTGGCAGCAGAAGCGTGTGAGGCTTGGCGTGGCATTTATATATTTGATGGGCGGCGCCGTGTCGAGGACGCAAGGAAAGACAACAGATGAAAGAGTCTGCTGAACTCGAGGTGATCAGGCTGGAGAGCAGAGGAATGAATCGATGCAAAGGCGGCAAGTCATGTGAGAAGTGACGAGAGCGGAGCGCGATTGAGAGAACTTGGGACGAAAAGGCAGCTCACGAGGAAACTAGCTCCAGAGGCATGTGGCTCGGGGCCCGTAGTGCCTGTGTCTTGGGTATTTGTGAATGTTGGCGTGATGGAGCCTAGGATGAGGAAAGTTGACGATGCCCTCTCTCTCTTTTATTTTTTTCCTACTAACAGGTCGGCACATGCAAGACATTCACCGTCCCTTAGCTTTAGCGGCGGGAAGCTTGCCGGGGCTTTACCGCAGGGGCCTCATGCGTGGGTCAGGGGACCTCCAGGGTCTGCAGGGCACCACTCTTGGGAGCCAGCTGGGCCAGTCAGAAGGTGCCGTTGGGCGGGAAAGGTGGTGGGGGGCTGACGGGCATCGCTTTTCGACGCCGATGCGCAAACCAACATCGGTGCTGTGCAACCTCCAAACCAAAGAGCCGCATCCGCGCACGTTCTTCACGCCGCCGAGCTTCATCTACCAGCGCAAGAATCACACGAAATACTCTCTATCGCTGGTCCGCCTATTCATCGTTACACAAACAAGAGCCCCAGCACCACGGCTCGGTCACGGGATGCTTTTTACCCCAGAGTTGGTGTCACCAGTTCATCGGAAGTCGAAACCGTTCCGTTCATGAGTACGACGACGGGCCGCATCACCTGCAGCGACCAGTGAATCAGCTCCCCCCCGACGGTGTCCTGTCCGAGTTCTGCCGGCCGATGCCCTGGGTTTTACTCACTTGCTGTTCACCGAGTGACAGATTCATTGCCATCTCGTGGTTTTTTTTTTGGGAGGGGAATTTGCCACTGGCATTACGGAGTACGACGACGCATTCACTGACACAAGACAATGCTATTTGTCATATGACACATCATTTTCACATGCTCTGAAAATGTCATTCTTTTGACTACTTTACATTCTGTGTTCGTGTAAAGCTACATGAAGGTAAATACATATTTCGAGTCGGTCCCGAGACCTGGTGCTTCCTCCCGCGAGCGCTGGGGCCGCTTCCTGCCCACAGCCGGATTACAGCCCTACGGCATGAGAGCCGCCACTCTTTTCTCTTTTCGGCTTCGCAGCACTTCCCAGCAGTGAGAATTGCATTACGCCATGATGGCCGCGACCAAGACGGCGCCGAGGAGGGACGCAGCCCCCAACACGGCGTTCGCACGACCGGCACCGGCAGTAGCAGTTGTGGAGGTGGCGCTGGCAGCGCTGCCGGAAGCCGTGCCCGAGGGGGCCCCGGTCGTGGCCCTGGTCGAGACAGCAGTAGGAGGGTACGTGGGCGAAGAGACGCCCGACGGGCAGTGCCAGTGGTCGTTGTGAGGCGTGCACTCCTTGCCGTCGCCGTGGTCATGGTCGTCATGGTCGTGCCCGCCGGTTGAACTGGCCGAGGCACTGCTTTGGGTCTGAGCAGGAGGCGTAGCCGGCTTGGAGACGCCAGATGGACAGTGCCAGTGGTCTTTGTGAGGTGTGCACGTCCCTGCTGCTGACTGCGTGCTGACAACCGCAGCCGTTGATGTAGGCTCGCAGTGCCCTTGGGGGTTTGCTATCAGCATACAGTCCGAACTCGTCAAGGGATGGGACACCGTCCGGTCTGAAAGGTCTCCCGGTACTAGACTTGCTGAAGAGTCGACTTACAGTGATCACCATGAGGGTGGCAGATGGAGCCGGTAGGTGAAGGCGGCAACGTCTGAGAGCCCGAAGGCTGGGACTCGGTAGTAGCCTGGGCTACGGCCTGGCCAAGAAGGCACAGTGAGATCAACGCCTTGAACTGCATGTTGGCCGAGTGTGCAAGGTCCCAGTTACAGCAATGGAAAGAAAAAGGGCAGTCTCAACAAGGGCCAGCAATGCAAAGGGCTACATATATATATGTGTGCGTCTGCTCTTGGCCGCCAATCAACAGCTCCTCCTCACGGGCCAGCATCGGCCCCCAATAGGCAAAATGGAATGCAAGGATACAGCCGTCACATTATTGGCAATCTTGTTGGTCGTGGTGATCAGTCCATCCCGGCTAGTCGACCGAATGCCAAGACATGGCTGAGAACCTCTTTGGGTTACAGACGTCAACTAGTCGGCCTATGAGGCTGTCCTTGTTGCGGTGGTTTGTATGCCGTCGTCTGTTTTCCACTGCGTGCTGTGCGACCAATCCTCGCTGAATTATCTGCATTTTTCTTTTGCATTTCTTTCTTATAAAGTCTTGCCTACTCGTGGCAAGGCCAGTAATAACAAAAATTTTCCTGGTCACCGAAACCTGCACTACATAAACATCAACGCCTGTTTCAAGCAGGGTTGGGAACACGACGAGCTGTCAGCCCAAATCAAACTTGATCTGGTCTGCAAAAGCTCCACAGTCTGATTTGGGATGCATGAGAAACCCCCCCGGCAATAAAGATACAGGCCAGGCCGTGATGGTTCTGTTCTTCCCTCGTGGCAAGATTACAAAATGCATTCAAGCTTATTCCTATCCGAAACACGGGTGGCATGTCCCCCCTTGCTTGGAGATCATTTCGTCTGATGCCAGGTAGATTTGTGGCGGGCCAACGATACGAAGAGAAGGTTAAGCATCTTTTTCGTTTAAATTAAGCTTACATACCTTGATGGACAGGTTGTGGTTTTATTCGTGCGGATGGAGAAGACGTTTGTTTTCAGCTTGAGTGGTTTGTGTGACGGGCGAGAACCTTGATGTCTTCAGCTGATGGGTCAAAGGTTCCGCCAAGACTTGATTTTGGATGCGTTGTTTTTGGACGGAATTGGCTTGGGCCGCATGAACCGGATTATGTGAATTGTTATTGGAGCAATGCAGCATGTTACCAGAGGAGCAGAGGGTTGCGTGGACGCAGTTCGCCGGTGAGATATAACTACGTATCGCCACTTGCATCAATAGTTTGCTGTTGCAGCATCCCATCCAACGTAATACATTGCCATATTAATGCGATGTATCCCCGCGGCTGGATGAGGAGCATGCGCCGTTGAGTGGTGGCTTCTATTTATGAGGAAGGTCATTCATGGCAGTCTAGCTCACCAATTATTGCACAGTCCTTTCCGTCGTTTTGG